CAACCGTTAGATTGAAAGTTCATATCTCTTAGATCATATATATCATATATATATATATATATATATATATTATCGATACCACTCGATAATTTACATTATTATTAAATATAAACTTTTATTTTACTTATTACTGAGCTAAAATGTAGATTCGGGCAACAATACAAACAACACTTACAAAATTCGACGTAAATTTTGTGTAATTAAATAATATTTTTTATATTTTCACATTAAATAATAATATGCTATTTTTTATTAGTTCGGATCTTTTGATGTTTCTATATATTTTGCTAACTACACCCAAATATAGTCAAACGAGTTTAGATTCACCTCCTTTCGTATATATACAAAACTAAAAATTTAGAATTTATAGAAGCTGGTTTATCTCAATATGGCACTCAATTAATTTGTACTTTGTAATAATCCAATTTTGACAAATTGTTCGAGGGCCTAAAGCTCAATACGGCTGATTTAGTAGCCCAAAATGAGTCGTTCCTAAATTGGAATGAGTCGTTCCAAACTACTAAAACGAGAGTGATTTAGTATCTCAGAACGGGTCGTTCCCAAATTGGAACGGGCCGTTCCAAAATACTAAAGTTGCCTACAAATCTTAGTTGGGAATGAGGCGTTCCCAAATTGGAGTGAGACGTTCCAAACTATGAAAAAAACTTGTAACCCTAGTTGGAAACAGGCCGTTCTGGTTTAAGAATAGGCCATTCCAAATATTGACGTTATGGGTTAAATGCAACCCCAGAACGGGCCGTTCTGGTTTGAGAACAGGTCGTTCTGGATGTGAATTTTATACATGCTGACAGAGTCCAGAACGGGCTATTCCAGATTTGAAATGGGTCGTTCCGGCGACGCTTGATGCCTATAAATAGAGAGCTTTGACACTCCCAGAAAGCACACCTTTTAGTCCTGACTTCTTTCAATTTTGACTCCTTTATTCTACATTCTCTTCTCTTCTTTTGCACTCTCTGAAGACCGAGGGGAGCCTAGCGGAAGAGATCAACCAGATCCTTAGTTTCAACTACTGTTTATCCAGGTACGGGGGGAAAAGTGATTATTTATATGTAGAGTTACATGAGGGAATTCGGTAGAGGAAGAGCCCTTAAGATTATGAGTAATTTTATAATTATTTATGTTTGGAAAATTATTGATTTTATGTGATTCTGTACGTATTTAGGACTATGTATATATGATTAATTTGTAAAAATGATGCTTTGGGAGAGAGAATGAAATTATAGAAAAGTGCTTGTAAGTTAGGTTTTGGAAAAATTGGATTATTTCTGTTTGAGGAATTAATGATCCCATTAGATTCTGTATGTGTTGAGGATTAGAAATATATATTTAATTTTTAAGAATGATGATCTGGGAGAGAGAATAAAATTGTAGAAAAGTGCTTGTGAGTTAGGTTTTGGAACAATTGGGGGTTTTACTATTTATGTTAAGATTATATTAAATTGGTAATTCTATTGATTATTATATTAATTTATGAATGTTATTGTTATATTACTTGATAAGAATTGATGATCTAGATGTGAATTGCTTGAGGGGTGTGTAAAGCCTTATTTTGTTGGACTTATCTGTTGTGTATGTGATATGGAATTGTGTATGTGATATGAAATTGAGTTGAGATGAGATGCTGTATGGATGTAAATATGATTGTGATTGTGGTTCCTCACACATATGACCAGGGATGAGACGACCCTGGGTAGGTGATGTTTTAGGGATGGTGTGCCCCTAGCATAGTGTGGGATGAGTGAGGCAATTAACACGCATCACTTATGTCAAATATGGCAGTCTTGACATATGGTTAATTGTAAGAGATTGTGTGGATTGTAATGTGATTATGGTTCCTCACACTAATGACCAGGGATGAGACAAAACTTGAGTAAGTGATGCTACAAGGACGAGCGAGCCCCTGACATGGTGTGAGATGAGTGAGGCAATTAACCCGTATCACTTGTGTCAAATGTGGCGTGGTCTTGGCATAGTGTTAATTGTAAGATTTGTGTGGATTGTGATGAATTGATGTAATTGAGATGTGAAAATGATGAATGATTAATAAATTATGATATATATAAATGTTTGTGAATATTTCATTCATTAAGGAGTTATGATGAGATTATGTTGTGTTTTCCTTTGTGTGTTTTTCATATAGATGTTTTCTTTTCTCACCATACAACTTGTGGATGTTTTAGGTGAGGAAGACCTGACTGTGAGTGACATCTAGAATGCTAACAGTTGAATTGTGGATATGTTCTGATATTGTGACATCGGGGCAGAGGATTTCTAGAACATGGAATTTCTATATAGATTTAAAGTTGTATTTATTATTTAAAAAAAATAATTTGTAAACTCTTATGTTTTATTTTCTAATTTATTTATTTTCAATCATTTTGGATATTAAAGAATATTTGTGAAGGTTTTTATGTGAACCCTTTTACCAACGTTAAAAAATTTATTCTTTAGCTTATTTACATTGTTACAATATATATGTTGGGGTAGTAAGGGTGTCACATACTTTATTTAATCTAACCTAGAATAGTTATTTTCTTATCATTTTTCACAGCCAAGCTACGACCATCACATGTTAATTGCGTAATGGTCTAAAACCAGATTTACAAGCAAGTATTAGTATTATGGTCCAGGGTTCTAAATTGTGGATGCAGTCCTCTGACATGCCATGACATGCCATGAAGATTAATTGCTGGGGCATTGTAACCATCCATCGTAAATCATAAGGAAAAAAGCTATGAAAAGGATTGATGAACTCAAACTAAAAATTTCAAGGGCCATTTTTAAGTTATGTAATCTTAAGATGATGCTTATTTATCAACAATAAAAAATATAAGAAAAGAGCAAAAAAATATTATTTTATATTTCATAATTTCATCTTTGTATTTAATATCATTAAATTAGCTTACCAAAAAAATATCATTAAATTACTTTTTTAATATTATAAGTAGATTTGTATTGAGAAATAAAAACTCACATATCAATGGATTAATTACTTTTTTACATTAATATTTCTTATATATAAATTAAAAAATTGGTGCCCTCCTAAAAACTGGAGTCATGAATGGTTGTCTGCATATAATTGGCCTACAATTTGGATCAGTCAAGGACGAGACCAACAAAACTTTTACTTTAAGTCTCTTCAAAAAAAATTATTTTATATTAATATTTATATAATTTATTTTAAGATTAGATAACTTAAAACATCTTTTACATTCTGAAAAATTAACTTTAAAAACTATCTCTAAAAGTATATAAATATAATTATTTTTTAAGACCCGTGTTTAAAATATTTTTATTTTTTTATTAAAAAATTAACATTATTAATTTTAAAAATCTCACTTTTTAATTTACTTTAAACATAATAATATGCTGATTTGCTCACCTACACTAAAGACAAGTTGTCATGCAACAAAGCTTTTTAAATTTCATACTCTGATTGGCAGGATCAGTCTAAATAGCAATAAAGTTGCTACGGTACCTAAAGAGGGGTTTCGCTACATTCTCTTATACAAATTCATAAAAAAAAATTTAAAAAATATTAATTTAATTATAAAATAAAAGAATTAATAAATAATAGAAATTAAAAATTTATTATAATATAGAAATAAAAAAAATTTAAGGTAAAAAGATAAAAATATACTTACAGAATTATTAAAATTAAACTATATAAATATATAATAATATTATTAAAAAAAATTAGAACATATAAAATAAAAATAAAATGACTAAATAATTTTAAAAAATGAAAGAATAAAATATCATAAATATTATATAAATAAATCTTAAAGCCTAAACATTAAAAAAGAAAATAATTAATAAATAATAGTGTGAGACCCTCTTCTTTCATTTTCTTTCCT